TGGCGGTTATTAGCATGCTTGGGTTGGCTAGCTTGCGGAGACTTGAGGTACAACTTCTCAGCGCTCGCAGCTCTTAGAGTCCTCTTTCCTTTTATTAGCTGTGTTTTTTTCCTCAGACAACTTTATGTTTTATTTAGACCCTTATTTGTACTATTCTAGCAGCTCGTGCACTTGTGACACCAGGTCCAGAGTTGTATTAAATATTGCAGTTGTTATGGTTTTCCGTATTTTCACTTTAGACTATTACAATTATTTTAGTTCTTTCTATCATTTAATTTGAACTGTTGAAAATGGATAAATTGTTCTAACGTTGGCTTGCCTAGAAAGTGAAATGTTAGGCGCCATCACGGTCCCGAAAGTGGGAATTTCGGATCGTGACAGTACCCGGAATAAGCCTCAAGGAAACTCATCAACTCGTGCTCGGGTGTCGCATCAGTCATTTGATCAATGTTTGGCAAAGGAAACGAGTCTTTTGGGCACGCCTTATTCAGATCCTTATAATCTACGCATATGAGAAATTTATTATTCCTTTTTGGAACTATTACTACGTTAGCTAGCTAGTCGAGATTCTTTACCTTCCGGATTGAACCGATATCAAGCAATCGAGTTACCTCTTCTTTGACAAACCTATTTCTGACCTCGGTAATAGGGCATTTCTTCTACCTTATCGGGGGGAAGTTGTGATCTAGGCTATACTTGAGCACGGCCACCTCTGACGGAATACCTGTCATATCTGTATGCAACTACACAAAACAATCAACGATAAATTTAAGAAATTCTTCAAAATCTGGCCTGAGCTCGGGGTTTAATCGTGTCCCTAAGTGGAATTTCCTCTCTTAAAACTTCTCGAACAATGGGACTTGTTCGAGTTCTTCCGCTATGGATTTGGTTGCGTCCGTTTCTTCTGGTACTTGGAAATATCTTGGTACCTGATAGGATTTCGAAGACTCCTCCCCATTGTCGACTTCGTTCGGCTCAAGAGTAGGAGTCGGTTCCTATAACTGCTATGTCGCATGTTCCTTCCCTTTACTATTAGAAACCGAGATTGCATTCATCTCCCTTGCCGCTGGTTGATCTCCTCTTATTTGTTTAATTTCCTCTGGAGTTGGAAATTTCAGGAGTTGATGGTATGTTGATGGCACAGCCTTTATCTCGTGTAGCCATGGCCTTCCAAGAATAATGCTATAGCCCATGTAGTCGTCTACTACTTCAAACAAGGTCGTCTTCATGACCCCTTCAGCATTTGTGGGCAGCAGGATCTCCTTGCGGGTTGTCACACTAGCTAAGCTGAACCCGGCGAGGAGCTTTGTGTCCGGAATGATGCTTCCAGTTAGCTTGGCTTGCTCCAGCACTCTCCATTGAATAATATTAGCTGAACTTCCTGGGTCCACCAAAACACGTTTAATTTTAAAATCTAAAACATTAAGAGAAATTACCAAGGCATAGTGTGTGCTAGTAGGAGTCCATCGGCATCATCCTCGATGACTTCCCTGAACCTCTTGCTATGGGTCATAGATACCTTTGTCTTTTTTGCTACCGAAAAGGTTACACAATTAGTCTCGTTGCCCCCGAAAATCATGTTGATCTTTAGACGAGGAGGATCTTCTCCCGTCTTTGAGGGCTCCGTGTTTTCTCGGTTGCGACTGTAGTTATTTTTAGTCCAATCGTTTAAGAACTCTTTGAGATGGCCGTTTTTCAGCAATATTGCCATCTCCTCACGCAGATGTCGGCAATCCCCAGTCTAGTGACCGTTAGTCCCATAATACACATACCATAGATTAGGATCCTTCTGACAGAGATCGGATCTCATCGGCCTCGGGAATCGTGCTTCCTTAAATGTTCCTCATTGTCGTTACCGGCTCTACCACGCTAATATTGAAATTATACTAGGACAATCTGGGGTAGGTGCAATCCCGGGAGCTTGTCGTCTCTTTGTCTTGCAATGATTTGTTATTCCGGCCATGGTTAACTCTCCTATCGGTAGCGAACCTGTTTGCCAACCGGAAACCTCTGTCGCATCCATCGGCCCTTTCGAATGGCAAAAATCGACCTTTAGAAGATAGTCGATCTGCGCTGAAATCATCATTTAACTTTTCCTTATTCTTCTCTAGGTCCTGACCCTTGGTTGATGTCGGGAAACCGAGTTGGTCATCCTCTATTCTTATCTTCGATTCGTAGCGTTTGTGGGCATCTTGCCATGTTGTTTCCTGGAACTCGAGCAGAGTTTCTTTCATTTTTTGGGAAGCATCAGAGCTCCTCGGATTCAGCCCCTTAGTAAATGCCTCAGCTGATTAATTCATCTGGCACGACCGGTAGCAGCATCCTTTCCTTCTGAAATCTGGTCACAAACTCCCGCAGCAACTAAAACTCTTCTTGTGCAATTCTGAATATGTCGGCCTTTTGGTCATGTACCTTCCTGGCCCTGGCATGGGCCTTGATAAAAGAATCTGCGAGCATCTCGAAGGAATCTATTAAGTACTCAGGTAGAAGTGAATATCATGTCAGGGCCCCCTTTGTGAGGGTTTCTCTAAACTTCATCAGCAAGACCGACTCAATCTCGTGCGGAGCTAAGTCGTTTCCTTTCACCGCCATTGTGTAAGTGATCCGAAGTCCCATCATATTTCGGCACGTCTAGCATTTTGAACCGCTTCATGATTAACTCTAGTGTCGCGCTTAGTTTGAACGGCAACTAGGTGTATTTCTTTCAGTCCGATCATTTCAACACTGATGATGCGCTCTGGATTTGGTCCATTCGGGCTTTTATTTCCCTCATAAACTGCATGAATTCGGTTTTAAAGGGATCATTCCTATTATTATTACCAGATCCGCTGTCGTTTCCCCCGGCCCCATCGAAGCCGACCCCACCCCTCGGGGTGTTGTTATCAACCTTTTATGCTGTTTGGTTTGCGGGAGCACCAGGAGGAAGTGGACCTCTTCCATTCACATTGTTAGAAGCACCCGACAACGCTTGCCTCAACTCTGTCATGGCCTGATCTTGTCGTGTGAGATGGCCCATTATAGCCTTTTGTTGCTCCCTGAGGATTCTCACCGTTTCCACAACATGCTCGTCCTCAGCATCATTAAGAGTTTCCTCCCTAACATGTCATGGATATTGCCCGCCATGGACCGGCATGGCTACGTCCTCCTCGTTGCGGGTATCACTGATCGAATCTTCATGTCGAGAAGTATTTCCTTGTGCCTCAACGTTGTGTATAATGTTGACATCGTTATCTGCCATTTTTTACGATTTTTCGGTAAGAAATAAGAATTAAACATATTAGTAATAGATGCAAAGATCAACTCAATTACGCAACTGTCTAAGCCCCATGGTGGGCGCTAAACTGTTTACCCGTAAAACGATACAGTTGAATTTGTAACATTGTTTTATAGACAAGCGAATCGATTTGATCCTAAAAATAATAAATAAATTAAATAAAATACAAGACTCAGCGTTGAAATCGAGATAAGACATCAAATAGATTTGTTCTGAGAGAAGAGCTTCTGAAGGCAGTAATAAGAATATCAATAGACAAGAAATAAATTATTATTGAGCTTTTGAATAATATGTAGCATAGATTTGTCAGAAAATTCGTGTCCTTACAATGGCTGTTGAAGTCACTATTTATAGCTGCACCTACGGTACAAGATCCCAGGATCAAGCCCCTCTTAAATGACAATTATGGGAGACATTGATTAATGTGTAACGGCACGCTATGAATGCCAAAATTCTTTATAACGAATTGGGTATTTAATACTGAATAATATTCCTCATTGAATGTCATCGAGTGGCAAACATTCGTTTGTCTTCATTAGCAACATTCTCTTCGGGATCTTTCCGGTGCCAACCAAAGATGCTATCCCGGTCTTGGTTTCTACTTGCTTTGCTTTTCGTCTGTCACCGGTTCCACACGTCGCTCTACTATTCGAGTATTTAATACAAACCGATTTTACCCCATACACTAGCTAGTTTGCTTTTGCCTGCTGAACAATTAATGTCCCCTTTAAGAAAAAGGAGGGGAAAAAATGCAAACCTGTGAACTATGATCAACCTCACGTCTGGAGAAAACTTAAGGAAATAAAACAAAATAACGCAAAATTGAAAATTAAGATAGATGGTTAATAAATTAAAGGTGTCGTATGGTGGGACAATTGAACTAACTTGGCGTCATTGACGACGAGAATTGCTGATCCTAGTTAAGCAGCTGATTATAAGTTGTATAAACATCAAAAGAAAATGGCTAATATTTTATAAACATCAACAGAAATGATGAGTATATTTTGATTAAATTGAAGAATAATTTTCAGCAACTTTACTCCACAGAAGGGAAGGTATAATTAATTAGACGGCAATGCATCTGCTTATACCAATAAAGGGAAAATTGACACAACAATTTTTCTCTTAATAGCCTTTTGTTTTTCAGTTGAACTACTTCCAAACAAGATCCCAATATACAATAACCTCGAAAAGTTCACTTTACATATAGTATCCAGGTGCTACTACTGAAGGATAGCCAAGACGGAACATATTCACCACCTTTCAGAATATCTGTCGAAAATTAATTAAATAAAAGACAAGCATCCTTTGGAAACCAAAATGCAGCTTACTCGTTTGGAGTAATTATACAGTTGATTTGACCAGCAAGGGCTGCACTCCAACCTATCGAAGTGAGATTGTTTCATTATTTAGCAGCTTAATCAATTATGACTATGAATTCCTTCTTCTTTTTTTTCAATTTTTTTTTATACATATGAGGGAGGGGAGGGAAAATGGGAGGGAATTACAAGGTGGAAAATCAAACCATTAAGAATTCACTATGTCTATATCCGTGTTAAATTAGTTTAAAGATTTCAAACCTAGATCATTTATAGCTCCTTATCTTTAATTAATCCTTAATTTTAAAATTATCTTTTAATAAGAACATGTGATAAGGTGGATAGTCTTCACCAAGCTCGCATAGTTGTTAACTCACAGAACGTGCGTTTACTGATTAAGACTCTGGTTGGTGTATAAAGCACGTATTTTATAGACTCGGCACTTAACTTGCCTAATTAGTAGTAACAAGTTCACCTCTCGCCTTTCTCTTTCTCTTCTTTATTTCATGTGACATACAATGGTAAGGATGACAACAGTCCCAACTCATGGGAAATGTAAGGCCCATTACCATCAGCCATATGCAACTTGGCACAGATGAAGCCCATGATCATTCCCCCCATATTTGATCATCTAAATTGGTGAGGTTCGAACGCAGCTTTCCCAATAATCCCAAGCTTCTGTCTGAACATACCAGCCCAAGCAGCCTGATTCTTACCGGGAAAATAACAGTAATGTCAATAAATGGGGGAGAAGACTGCCGCTGTGATCATAATAATGGTGCAATGACTTGGCTGAAATTCAGCTGCACGAGCGACTCTGCAAAGTAAATCGCCATGATGAACATTGATTCTCAGGGGATCAAAAATGGATTAATTATGATGTCAAACTAAGTTGTATCAACTTCAACAGTTAAACACAACTATTGTATAGTTACTATACCATCCATGACAGTCAAAGCAGGAACTAAACTAGCTACATTTATTTACAAGATCAGATCAGATTTTGTATCTCATCAGAACTACTAGCTTTCACCTACATACAATGAGAACTTTATGCCATGTATCAATTATGTAAAGAAGGGGAAAGAATCAAACTTGATCAAAATTCTAGTTTAATCGAAATGAGCATGGAATAACTGCCTGATAACCAATAAATGGTATAATGAATAGGAAAAACATAGCTTGGCCTGAGCGTCAAAAAGTTGCTCAAAGTCCTGGAATTGATTCAAGATTGTATTTCTCTGCAGTTAAAGTTTCAGTCTCTCGGTTATCTGGCACTTTTGGCTCCTTCATGNTGATCAAAGTTCTAGTTTAATCAAAATGAGCATCGAATAGCTGCCTGATAACCAATATGAAATGGTATAATGAATAGGAAAAACATAGCTTGGCCTGAGCGTCAAAAAGTTGCTCAAAGTCCTGGTATAGATTCAAGATTGTATTTCTCTGCAGTTAAAGTTTCAGTCTCTCGGTTTTCTGGCACTTTTGGCTCCTTCATAGCATCGAGAGTGTGTAGATATGTATAAGAGGCACTTCTATTTGACGGAGGAGTAGGATTGCTGATTCTGCTAGCAAGGAAGCGGCGGATCAGGCCCCTGAGGAAGGGAGCCATGGTGTCTGGTTCATGCTCCAAGTAGTACATAATACCACCCATACAGGCACAAAACAAGGGCACCTGTATAACAATCAGACACCGCATATTTGCTTGAGAAGTTTCATTTCATGAAATTTTAATATTTGAAAAAACTGTACTTTCAGAGAAACCCAATATTTCATGAACAAACTTCCCGTAAGTAGTTCAATTCTTTCAATGTTTATCCAGGATATATGCTTAAATTTATACAAGTAAGCTATTAAAGTAGTCATAAACTCTGAGCAAATTTTATGAGTGGTTTAACACCGCAAAGCACCAAATTGCATTAAAGGTGAAACAAGATACCTCTGCATTCTTGATAGCCGGAAGCAAATGGCGATTCACTAGTATATACCACAAAGAATCTGCAGCTCGAGGAAGAACATATAAGGCAAGTTCGCCACGTCTAGCTTTCTTCTCCAGCAACACAGAGAGGCCTGAGAGAGCCCCAGCTACCCAATATACAAGCTTATGGTCCTTTGACGCCACCTTCCGGTGGGAACATATGGCAGCCTTTTATTGAGATAGAGAAGTTAATCAGTAAAGCTAAGCGACTCAACCAGCGGCATCACAAAAAGAGCCCAAGGACTACCAGAGGTATGAGGCATCAAGAACATAAACTACCTGAAAGATTCCAACAAAAGCGGACAAGAAGGTTGTTGAACGAACAGCCCCTGTAAGAGCATACCAACAGGTGCGCGTAGGAGCATCCATAAACTGGGATAACATTAAAATAAGATCAGCAAGTTTTCAAAAGAATTACTTTAGTAGCAATTCTACTACTCTAGGTAACAATAACATAACTTAAAGTGTAGACCTTCGTAATTGTTCATCACATGGTCCTCGTAATACTGCTATATACTGGACCCAGGCAACTTAAAAAACACAAGGCAAGTACTACAGAATTGATAAAAACATACTTCAACTACCAGAGACAAAGTTTCCTTTCTTTTTTCTCTTGTTCTTTTCCTTTTTTTTTCTTCTTGTTTCTCTAGTGTATAAAGTATAAACTTTGTCTTTTCTTTTTCATTTTCCTTTTTATTTTATTTTATCTTCTTTTTTTTTTT